TGTAATGGACTTGGGTGTTTTTGAACTATCTTTAAAACTTAGTAAAAACTCAAAGCAATCAAATGATTTGGTGGTGCAACCCGAAGTTGACTTAAGAATGGCTGTCAATGTGATACATATTAGAACTTGTGCAGATTCTGCATTTGCTTTTTGCCGTATACTTAGCTATTTGGCTTCTGACGGTGATAAAATTTCTGCAGAAGAACTATCAACTGAGTTTGAAGGAGTTGATCAGGAAGATCCAGTTTTGTTAGATCAAGCAGATTCTGACAATAATTCATTATCAAGTCTTATAATGGAAGCTATGCATGAAGAAACTACCGGTTTAAAAAAACCTAAGAAAAACCTAGTAGATCCAATTAAAAAACAGAACTCAAATCACTCAGCTTCAAACCAAAGTGATAAAGGAATTGAAGTATTTTATTTTCCTGATGAAACCAATAAAATAGTCTCCCCTTTGGATAATGAACCATCATTGCAATACGAAGTAGAAGATGATTCTATTGATAAAGAATTTTGCTTTGTTGAACATGAAGTTGGTTCAGGATTAATGGTATGGTATTAGATTTAYAAAAAATATATCTAAGTCTTAATTAATTATTCATTAATTGTAATTAGCCTCGAAGTAACATACCAGAAGTGCGTATGTTAATAGACACACAATTACGTTTGATTAACAACTATTTTAAAGCTCCTGTTGGAAAAGTTGATATGCTCCAGGCACCTAAAGAATATCCAACGCCAGTAATTAAATATACATTACGAGAAATGACTCTTATTTGGCATATTTATGGTGGAACTGATTTTAGTACTAAACCTATTCATAACGAACTGACAAAACATGTCACTATAGTATCTGAAACGTAAGTAAATTTGATTGTATATTAATATATTAAACAGTAATTAATTTTATTAATTAAATGTTGGATATTTTAATAAGGAATTCTTGTCCAACTTCTCCAAACACACTGAGGCCTTCACTTTCTCGATATTATTCTCAAACTAATATAAACTCTCAGGTATTTATAACTATAATTATTTTTAAATTATAATTCATATTATAACTGTTTATTCTTTTTTTATTAGAAAAATCCTACTCCAAAAAAAGGATCTAATACATCTCAAGCCAGGACAAGGTTTTGCTGTAGTGTTTTACCTACCAGTTGGCAGGCAAAGGGTGGTGCTGGACGACAACACCATGTATTAATGCAACTTCAATTGAATAAGGTATGTTTTTTTACATTGTAWTAGTTAAAATATAAAATTAAAACAATTTTGYTATTAGGTACGATTCCAGCATGAAGTTTACCCATCACATACAAAACAAGCAATGAGGCAAGTGGTTTTAATTCAAGACTTAGAAATTCGCGATAAACTTGCATCATCAAACATCAATAAATTKTTATATCTCTACTCAAGTGAAGCAATGCCCAAACAACAGGATGCTAATATGGTAAGTGAGGTTGATATAGTTAGATGGTTTTTTTTTCTAAAATATAGTTAAAATACAAATGTTAACAGTTTGTTGCCAAAGCTGCCCACATACGTCCTGATTCCAATCTAAAAGTTCAAGAATGTTGTGTAAAGGTGTCTATGTTACCATTAAGACTTAACATTGATCAAGATTCGTTGATATTTCTGATCTCATTTGTAAATCAATTTAATGCACTGGGTCAAAAAACCAAAGATGGTATTATTATAAATCTTCTATATTTTATTAAATTTTTACTATTTTGTTTTAAACTGTGTCTTTTGTAGAAATATTGGCTGAAAAGAAAATACCCACAAAATTAGAAGAACCAATTATGACATTAGGAAACACAGTTGATGGCCAGAAGGATATTGCACCTAATCCATTGATTCAGTTAAATGATGAATTTGATCAACATTTTGGATTAAAAGATATACCTGTCAATCCTAAACCAGACACTGGCACTAGTCCAAGTGACAGTAAAGCTCCTATTTACATAAGACAATTTGTGTTTTCTCCAGATGTTACTATACGTTTAGATTATGAAGGAAGACATATTGATTTGAGACAGGGTTCATTGGCTGGTTTACTAATGGGATTAGCACAGCTCAATTGTTCAGAGATAACTTTGAAACGTATTGTTCACAAGCACGGGTAAAAATTTTTGATAATCTTGTTACATGTTTTGTGGCCCTTAATTTATGTGAATTATTAATTTTTTAGTTTACTTGGATTCGAAAAACTATTGACATATGTTACCCAGGAATGGTTACAAGATATAAAAAAACATCAGCTTCCATCATTACTTGGTGGTGTGGGTCCAATGTATTCGTTTGTCAGATTAATACAAGGCTTTAGAGATCTAGTGCAACTACCTATTGAACAATACCAAAAAGATGGCAGAATAGTCAGAGGTTTGCAAAGGGGAGCTAATTCATTTACTACATCTACAGCAATGGCAGCTCTTGAAATAGCCACCAGAATCGTAAATCTTATTCAGGTTTGTGAGAGTTGTACACTAAATACGTAAATATATGGCATTTACATTTAATATAATTATTTTATAGAGGGTAGCCGAAACTACTTATGACATGGTAAACCCAGGACCTAGTATGCGTCAACTAAGGTTACAAGAAGGTAAAAAGAGAAATCGTCCTAATAAACGATCACATCCTGCCGAYATACGAGAAGGAGTAGCAACTGCTGTTATGTTGGTTAAAGAAGTAAGTGTTTATAATTAAAATCTGTTCTAATGCAATACTTATTATTAGTTATTAATAATAACTAGAACTTTTATATGATGTTATTAGAAAGGTTTGAAGTTAAAAGAAAAAAAAATTTATAAATATTTATGGATATAAAACTGTATTTAGGTATACTTAAAGATGATATAAGYGTGTAGGTTGTTAATAGAGTATAGGTAATTATTAGACACGTTTAAATTGTGATTTCAAATTAATTTGGTCTTTCGGTATACTTTAAATATGAATAACACCAGGCTGACATTTTCACGGAATATTTATAGTATATTCAAAGCATATAATTTTAAAATAGTTTTGCTCTTTTTGTTAATTTTTTTTAATGGACATTTACTTTTAATTTTGACAAAATTGGATATTTAAATGAAAAACAACTATTTTTCTATAAAAATGTTATATTAATGTTTGTAGTTCAAATAATATCAATTGTATACAGCTTATTGCCATTATGTATATTATTAAATTATATTATAAATGGCAACATTTCAAAAGTAGTTAGGCTATTTATATGATGGACTTATTCATACTGTTTYATGGTAAGCGCCAWGCGGTTTTTATATTATATATATTTAATTTAGTGTAAGTTAATAATAATTAATTATTATATATGATAAAATATAATATATGCAGTGTTAGGATTACCTCAATGTTTATTTAATATAATATGTATTAGTATATCTAACAAATTTAAAAATATATTTCATTTTTAAGCATCTGTGTATGAAAATATAAAAAGTTATCAAAATGCACTGAATATGGATTGGATTRAGTACCATTCAAAATTATTTTTTATTGAAATCATAAGCTATGAAAATAATATTTTATAGAAATTAGTATTATTAAATTAAGTCCTATACTGATTAAATTAATAATTCCAAAAAGTATTCATTGATATTATAAATGAATCAATCATCTTGCTATAATATTTATGTTTATGTTTGAAAAAATATATTACTATTTATTTTATTTTATTTCATATTACTGATTTATAATGTTTTGTTGTTTTAGGGAATTGGCGAAACAGCACAAAATATAGTTAGAGTGGCAAGTGAAGAGCACGAAATCAAGGGTACTGCTGGCATGGTTGGTGGTGTTATGCGGCAAATACCTCCTACTGCCCTTACACCCATTATACTCGCCAGTCAAGCGACATGCAATGTGCTTCAAGGTGTTCGCTGTCAATTGGCACCGGATGCACGTGTTGAAGCGATGCAAAAATGGAGGTGTGACTAAACATCGACTACATATCAAAGACCAATATACTTTTATTATAATATTTTCATATATTTTTTTAATTTAATGATTCATTTGTGTATTTTTTTATTCAATTATCATAACTTTTGTCTGACAATTGAATAATAGAACGTGATTGTAGTATATTTTTGCAAAATCTGTAGCATGCTCTACGTATTTTATTAAAAAAACAAAAAAACTATTGAAATGATTAACAGTTGTACGTAAACTACTTAAACACCAAATGATAAATACAGCAAAAATGAAGATGCAAGCTATTATATGATAAATATTTTTTTCTAATTCTAGTGCCATAATATTGTGGTTCCATTATTCTTAGTCTGTTTAAGGCATAATTGTTTTGATTTGTTATATGTTAAATTTTATACTATTATCCAGATGTTTAATTTGTCATTTTGAACATTTTGTACAGAAAATAGGAAAAAATACAATAAAAAAATTTTAATTTTGATGATTATCTTATCGTATTTTTTGTTACAATCGTAGTACAACACTCAGTACGAATAATATTTTAAATCAAAATTGGTTTAAGAACTTTTAGGTTAAAACATATAAATGAGCATGAAAATATCTTACTACAGGGAAGATTATTTTTTATTTTATATATTTTTTAATTATCCCGCGGCAACTTAGGCCATTGGGAAGGGGGTGGTACTGTAGGTTTATGGAACGGTAGGTGTGTTACACGTGTATGAGTTTTGGCAGAATTTTTATTGGGGCACCCGTAGGTTTCTGCCATGCCYCGGAGTGGGGGATGGCGGCACTTGTTCTCCGTGGAATATTATTATTTCTTACTTTCATAGAATGTTGTCATTATTGTCATGGCGTTTGTCCTGTAGGTAACAGCGGTTAATACAGATTATTTCTTGCGCCATTGATATTCATTAKAACACGGTTTTTTACTCCAGCACACGTCATAACAGTTGGTAGAAACCCAAGGATTTGTAGTTCATTTAATCGTAATATTATATGCTAATACAATAAATGTCATATAATTTCTAACCTCAATTCACCACTTAATTTTAATAGTTTTTTTAATTATTAAATAATTAAGTATTCAATTAAAACAATAGTCCAATTACATGTTAAATTTGACATTTAAYAATTTTATATATTGTTACTGTTCCAAGCGCATTCTTCATTGGCTTTCCATATACTACTGCCGTTTTCGTACTGTTCTTTCTTAAAAATGGGAACCGTGGTTTTTAGTTGTTCAAGTATAAACGATACAGCTTCTTGAGCATGTTTGCGATGAGGAGATGAAGCGACAATCACTACACCGGCTTCTCCAACTTTTACTTCACCAATCCTTACAGAGAATACTGGTTATTATCGGTTTTTATGGTAAAAGCAACATTTATTTTACTTAAAACATTAAAATATAACCTATCAATTATTTAAACTACCTGTGATGTATTGCAATGTTCACAACTTCTGGMCATTTTTGTCTGGTCAGCACAGTGATACTTTTCATTTCATTCAACGCCATCGACTCGTAAGCTTCGTAAAACAAAGTTTTTACTTTATTCCCATTAAATTGTTCTCTAGTCGTTCCAATAAATATTGATATAGCTCCGCATTGTGGTGAATTGACAGAATTTATCGCAGAGTTAATATCAAGTTCAGAATTCACAATCTTTAAATCAATCATTTTTTTTCAACCTGAAAACAAATTAAATCACCAGAAATTTTAGATTTTGTTCATAGGGTTGAAAAATATAATTTTTTTTTTTGGTAATAAATTTGATTACTACCTCCACTTATTGGCGGAATAACAGCTACAATGTCCTTATCTTTTAAGGTGATCTGCGTATTGTCAGATATATAAATTTCATTGACAGCTAATATAAAAATGTTTCCTATTGACAGTAAATTAAATTGGTCTACCAACATGGACCGTAAACTATGTCCAAATAAAGTTTGCGGCAACTGAACAGTTGTACTCTTTACTTTAGATAACTCACGAGCTTGAGCAAAAAATATGATTGTAACATTTACCACGGTCATCACCTATAGATAAAAACATATTTTATTTACAAATCCTGATTAATTTAAATAAAATACTTGTTTTTGCATTTTGTAAATTATTATAAAAAGACAGGTWTTTTTAGTATTTGCTTATTGTTTATCCTTACACTACTTGCCAGTATTAGAACTTTTGGACTCATCGTAGTATTTAATATTACACTATTGCTCACATTTTTATACGTACTAAAAATTAAAAATGCGATTGCTATTCACAGGAAAAAAATATTTGTGTACAATTTATAGTATGCTTCACATCTTTTTTTTTTTATATGTTAATTAATTAGCTAACAATTTCTGTGCTCTGGAATGATTGACGTTACATTAAGCCATCAATATGTTTAAAAACTGACATCGTTGATTGTTGTCTTATTTTAAGTGTTAGTACTCAGGTCGTAGGGTCCATACAATTGTATTCAKAATTGATTGCTAAGATTTCAAATCATAGATAAGTCTTGAATTTTTATATATAATTGCCAATAATGATGAAAGAGTGGCGTAAAGATAATCAATAAGTTACATCACATACCCAATATATATTCATGTTTTTAAGCATTTTAAATAAAACTTTGTTTTTTTACCGTGGAATACGTAGAAAGACAAATTTTGAAATTTAAATAATGCGTTTAAGAATATTTTTGAATAAAATAAAATATTCACATAATAGTTAGTATACTGTTTAAATAGTTTCAAGACACTTGCGTAAAAACACTGAATTACTTCTTAATATACCAACAGTTATATATACAAAAAATTAACATAAATTAATTGAATTGAATAATATTGAAAACACTAAACAAAAATTGTAAAAAACTTAAAGTTGAAAATGTTTAATAGTTAAGCAAAAATTAACAATAAGTATTTTGAACTTATTTGGTTTAAAATTAAGGTAGCTACACCATAAATATTAAGATATACCTTAATTCGTAGCTACATTATCTATCAATGAAGTTTAAATTTAAAAATGTATATTTTACAAGATAAGAATAAGTATGCGTACCTACTTAATTGTAGGTAATAAAAAAAATAAATAAATTTATCAGGATTTAATACAAATACACAAAGAATGAATTCTTTTCTTATCTATAAAGTGAACTATTGGTAGAGCATAAGTACATAATTAATTACATTTAAAAAAAAAATGTATAATTGACATCTATTTGAACAGATATGGGTATTATATTTTACTCAAATACTTCATTTTTGGCAGGTAAAATAATTGAACATTAATGCATTTATGGACTAATMCATAGACTAGCTAAAGTTATCCTTAATACTGTAATTGTTACAAGAAATGGAACAATCAGCGACTATAAAAACGAAATCGAATTTAAATGAAAAATTATATTCACTCACCTTRATAAATAGTTTTAAGCTSTCGAACGATCGCTTAAAAAAACCGAATRAKTTTTTAATTAATGTTAGACTATTTATCATCTGAAACACGAGAGGACGAGAGGTTACGCCGTTTGCCATATTAAATAACTAATTTCCTAAGGCTTCCTAAGTATTGCGTAAGAACTGCCCAATAATAATAATAATAGTAATAAATTACAGGCAAGTAGCAAGAAACTGTTTTCTAATAATTTCTATATTATTATAAGACATAAGTTATAACTATAGCCCGGAATATTTAAGCTATCAGACGATAAACTAAAAAAAATAAAAATGATAACGGTTCACACCATAAGTCAGCTGCTGCAGCTGTGACRTGCGGTTTTCTACACGTTCTGTATCGTTTAGTTCACGTTCATGGTGTAGTTGTTGTTCCGTCTTTTGTTGTTATTGTTTTGGAAAACAGCTGATGCTGGTCGCCAATAGTTGATAATGCGCCGAGATCAAAAAGTAAACACAAAAAGACGTAAATTGTAGCGAAAAGACACAGAGTAATATTTATGTACTTAATTTTTTTCGCTCCCGTGTTTGGTGGTTTGGTYTTYTCGATCGTATTATTCAACACTGTACCGATTGCCGAGAATTGTTCGTTCACATACATTACTGTGCGATTGTTTCATGTTACTCGAATAAACTCCATCGATAAAAATAAAGGTTTTTTTTGTGTTTACTTTCAATCACGGGTCGGTGGAACGATCACGARCACCCACTGTTCTATTGSACATCRAATACACTGGATCGAATTTTCACCGACCAGTAGGGGTAAGATACTTTGACATTGATCTTTAAGACATAAACCCTGCGATTGGTAACCTAATGACTAAGGCATAGTTTATTAAGCAGACGAACGGCTGAACATCATATCCCTAATTGTTTGGCGTTTTTTATAGGCCAACGAGTCGAAACAAATCCCAATGGGTCGAATATTTCTCGATCACGTTGGCGGTGACCGACTGTACGCGTGTGCTGCGTGCGATACTAACCTGACAAATCGCGACGAGTTGATTAGTACCAGGTTCACGGGTGCAACAGGTCGGGCATTCCTATTCAACAAAGTTGTAAACCTCAATTATAGGTACGGTGTTACTAATATAACAATGTAACAGCTTGATAAGTTATGATATTCTTAAAATGTTTTTATTTTAATACCTATCGTAAATAATAATTTTACAACAGAAAATGAACTAGATAAATACAATTAATTAAATTAAATTTATTTCTAAATGACTGAAAAGATTAATCTGTAAATTATAATGCTTGACCATTGTTTTTAGCTGCACTTGTATTAACAAAATATTAGTTTTTAGTTTTTAYGAATTCTTGAAATTCTTCACTCCCAAGTACTTATTTCTTTTTGAAGTTTTTAATTTCTTGTAAAAAAATGTACACCCAACTTCTTAAGGGCAAATTGGGAGTCAAAAAGCAATTTATTTGAGTATTTTATTTTATTTTTTTTAGTAAGTCTTGATGTTTAAAAATTATACTATGGACTATTGAGACGATGGAATTGATTGTTGTTTAATATGGTACAATTTATTATCATATAGAATACTTTGAATCCCCTGCACATACTACATTATTACATTATTATTTATATATTATATTTCATGATCTAAAAAACTTTCTTTTAGTGTTTAAAAGTAGAATTTTTTTTATTATTCATTATTATTGTACTCAGAGTTGTGGTTAATAGATGGATGCCGTTGAATAAAGTGTAAAAATAAAATGTGTTTCAAAATTTTGTRATWACTGTAATTAGTTTTATATTTTACTCATTTACCACTGTTATTGTTATAAYCTAAAAATTATCGTAACACTTTTTTTTTTTATAGTGATGTGCAAGATCGAGTAATGTTAACTGGTCGTCATATWGTACGAGATGTATCCTGTAAAAATTGTGACACCAAATTAGGATGGATTTATGAATTTGCCATGGAAGAAAATCAGCGCTATAAAGAAGGCCGTGTTATATTGGAAAGGGCATTGGTTACAGAAGGAGATGGTCTTGAACATGAAATATAAACGTGCTTCAAGATGTTGATTTGTACAGATTTGTTTTGTTTTTCACTCAAATTGTATTATATTGATATGTAATATAAAAATATAATGGCTAGGTACCTAATAACTTAAATTTAATAAACAAAAATAAAAATATATATATGTATATACATATATATACATTTTTAATGTTCCATACAAAGTACCAGTAGTAGTTATGTTATTCAATATTTTATACACCAATTATTAAATTTTGAACTTAAATTAATTAATACATTTAAAGTGTATGTGTACATATTTTTTCTAATTATATTGCATGTTTATAATTTTAAAAATGTTATATACCGGTACATAGTTTACCTATATAGCGTTAAGTATATTATTTATTAATTTATTTGTTTTATTTTCATTTTGTTAACATAATTGAATAATAAAAATATTGATTTGGCTTACGGCGAGACACAGTCACAAAGCAAATTCATAGTTTTATGATTTTATTTATTCAATAGCTCCATCAATCGTCCAAATATTTATACTTTATAATTACTTTGAGTTTAAATACTGTTTTAATGTATTACTGTATTATAATTCATTCTGGTATACATATTAATGGAAAAGTTGTCTTCAGAGTATGATTTTAATTTTTCTGAATGCCATCAAATAAAAGTAAATTTTAAATCGTTAAATTGAATTTAGATGTAAAAATTTGGGTGTTTTAACCAAAAACATCGAGTCTCTCTAATTGAAACCGTTTGACTGGTACCTAATATTGGTTAAAAGTTTAAAACGATTTTGAAACAATTTTTATAATTTTATATTTTACTTTAAGTTTTAGGTACAACAATGAATATCAAAAATTAGCGATCAGAAATTCTGAAATATTCTTTCCTGTGTAATTTATAATTGTTTATTATTTTAACTGATCTAATAATTTATTAAAACTATATACTTATTAGTTCATACTAGTAAATTGTTTTTTGAAGGGGATGGGATATTATTTAAAAGGGGCTAGGGCGGAAATTGCTCATATCAAGCCCTGAATTCGCATATTACATACCTACCTAGGGATAATGTACGTTATAACCACGTTTGCAATGTGTCATCCAGTTCAACCAGTCCTATGTTCCAGCGCGATTCATTTCTTGACACTGCAGGYGAAAAGCTTTTGTCACCGAGTTGACCGACCTTCTAAGAACCATTGTGTCAGCAAACAAGTTATGGAACGGTTCGAGCACCCAGTTTAAGTAAGGTAGGTAAACTGGCTGTTCAGTGTACTCTAAACAGTGCGCCAGATGGTCGAATCGTTTCACAGCTACCACTTCCACACAAAATCRAAAATGTCGACAGCATCACCTMCGACCAGATAGAACTCCCTAATATTGGCGATATAACTTAATGTCAGCCAACCGACCGAGGGTCATCCAAAATATTAATGAAGTGATGTATCTATTTATCCTGATGTTGGGCTTAAACTGCCACCGTCGACAGTCAAACCAGTACCAAAACTATTCAAGAAATGTAGATTTGTAATACGAATCGATAAAAAATTATAAAAACAATGTGTCTTCCTTCTGTGCAATAATAAATAAAGGTAATATTATATTATATTTGTTTTATTTTTAAATATTATTAAAACACCAAAAACCAAGTAGGTATCCATAATCAATGAGGTTATGGCTGTTGCATTAACAATGACGACATGAGCTACTTCATCTGTGGTATACATGTGAGATGTGGAGTACAAAGGCTTTGTATATTAAATTGACTTACCACACAATTCACACATACTATAATAATTATGCCACTACGCATACCTATTACTTAATAGAATTTGAACATTTTCTATGTTAACGACATGTTATCTGGCTTAATGTTTATGATTTATTTGAATAGGAAATTCACCTGAAGGCTAATTAAAGAGTAAATATTATTGAAAACAATTTATTATTTAAATTTGTATTTTCCCCTTTATAATTTGTTTTTATTTGCTAGAAATTTAATTTACAAAATTGTACAACCATATAAAAACAACAAAAAATAAAAATAAAAATATTTTTAAAACAAATATAATCATTTTTATTTTAGTTCAGTGCTGGACATTTATAATTAAGTAGGGTCTATGTAACAATATATCAATATATTTTATACAAATAGACCATAAACTTAATAATATTTAATAAGTGCATCCTAGTAATAATTAAAAAGATGCATTCAAGTTTTTGTCATTTCTATTGCAAACAACAATAATTTTGTGTAAAGAAAAACAAAATATAAATTATACATTTAATAAACAACATATGGCGCCCATTTTGAGTGGTAATATTATATTTCATTTGTGTATGTATTAGTTGGCTTAGGTTTTTTACCTTTCACAACTATTGGCTTGCCTTGAATAATGCCTTTTTTCTTGCGAGCAGACTAAAAAAGAAAATTATATATTTTTACAGATTTTGTAGCAATATTTTTACACATTATAAATGCATACATTTTATACACATTTACAAATATAAAAATATAGATATAGGTCTGTAGGTACCTTTTTTGATATTGCAGATGCTCCAGGATTACGGATTTTTCTCTCTAGTACCGGTATACGTGGCCTATTAAACTCGTCTGGTTTTTTTACCCTGTATATTCTGACCAACCAGTGTTCAGTAGTGTATGCCTCTTCCAAATAGGTGAGGTCAAAATTTTGGTTACCTATAACGGCATTACGCGTGCGATCAAAACCAGCAGGTGTTCTAAAATCCAACTGTAAACAACATAGTTAATTATTTTGAATTAACATACAAATGTAGTTATTATTTATGCATACTTTCAAGTCACCAAATCTATAGTAGCTAAGTTTGTACATTAAACAATTGAGCATGGTTGGTGAGCCCTGACTGTCAATTCTAAATTCACCCCGTTCAGTAAAGTAATCAGATTCCTAAATAAACAAATTTTATAGTTAAAAATCAATACTAAAAAACCAAAAAATTTTATATATTTATTTTACCCTTATGTCTTTAGGATGTTCGCCTTCAGCGATCCGAACCATCCACAAAAATTTATTAATATCATCGCCCGAGTAACCAATTACACCTCCAAATATAACAAGGACATAATCAACATCAAGTGATGTCATTATCTCATATGCTTTTGGCTCAGTAGAAGACATCGCTTTTCCAACAAGCGCTATATGACTATTATTCCAAGTGTTATTATCAACTAATGTTGTGCGATTTGCCATTCCGGCTATCTGATAACCATAATCCCACCAAGACATAACACGAGCATCATTGTCAGTGTTTTGGGATAGCCAATAGTAAGCTTCACGGAAATCATCCAATATTTGCCGAGATCTAATCAAAAAATTATAAATAAACTTCAGAAATGATATGTTAGATAAAAAATGACCTAATGAATAAAAGTTATTGACAGATAATGATAAAACTATGTAATATTATATAGACATCTCACCCATCATTACTGAATGATGCTAATACAATACTAGGACTAGAGTATGCATTACTGGTGACCCATGTACAGTGAACAACAAACATCATGAGAACGAGTAACATAGAAATGGTTACAATACTTCTAATGTTTGATCCAACACCTTCTCCATTACTATTATCACTGTTTAATGAAGCGATTGTTGGTGGTTTCTTTTTACTCTTTCCRGAGCCAGAGCTTGAAGACTAAATTAACAAAAAAAAACGAGTCAAATTTAGTGTTATAAAATAATGGTTCATTAGTTTTTTATTCATAGTTAAGTTTTTATGTACCTAACAACWACAAAAAATATTCAGCAAAAGTGCATGTTATATTAAAATACTAAAAATTCAAAATATAAATTAATTTAGAAAAATGTGAAGTTTTAGAAATTTTGAGTCTTAAATATTGGATGGATAACCTAGAATATATTTAGTATAATGTAGATAGTATGAAAATATAAATAATAAAACGTACAAAAATCACTGCATAATAAAACTTATAAAATAAATGTATTTACTTGTGATGATTTAGAAGGTGTTTTATCTTTAGTAGGCTGTTTTTCTTCAACAGTTTTTGTTCCATTGCTATTTATTGGACCATCTTCTTTTAAATAATTTTCAAAAATTTTGGAAAATGCAATACCACTGAGAATACACACAGCTGGTGTCAAAGTTAACATCAATCTGACCATAACACCCGCAAAGTACACAGCACTCAGGGCATATAAGACCACTAAATAAACATAAGAAATGGATGAATATTTTGACTTTTGATAGGGGATTATCTTATTACGAATCCATACCAAAAAGTCGTTCATCGTTATACTCTTGAATACAATACCATAATCCAGCAGGGAATATACAAACAAGTATATGGAGATCAAAGAAAAAGCTAAACCATGTTGTTGGTTGATGCTCAGATACTGATGCAATTATAGGTATATGTATCTTGGCATATGTTGTATCCCATAAGGAATAGAATCTAAAAAGAACAAATAACATTGGCAAATATGTTAATATTKCTAAGTATTTAATTGAATATTTTAGACAATAACTTTATTTGATTGTACAAAATAATAAATACCTTCCACTCCATGGTGCAATGAGTCCAGCCCAAGTTAGACCAACGACACCCAATAGTACAATACCAGACGTGACTAGTGTCGCAAATATAAAAATAAATTTGAATTCAGCTTTGGTGATACGAGTTTGAATGTAATTAAATGTGCCAGCAGCCATGACCAAAGCAAATACTCCTGAAGCTGCCATGTGCTCACTGGTCCTAATTGGTTGAAAACCAACAAAAGGAATTTGCATACTCAAAACCAAACCAAGTATGTAGAAAACAGTGTAACTTGTGAATAAACGATATGAGTAACGGCCCATAATGAGCAGTAAAAAAACATGAAGAGGAATCAAATTAATAATGAATACATATCCACCCCAAGCTGATACCTAAATTGATAAATAAAATGTAGTTATTAATTATATTTTCAGTAAAAATTGTTTTTTATTAAAAATATGTTATGGACAAAAAGACAGATTTGAAGTATGTACTCATTTTTTAATTTCAAACCAAAAATTTTAGCACATTTTGAAGTCTGATAAAAATTTATAAGTACAACAAAAATCTAATTTGTTACAATCTATTATACGAAAGAATTATCAGTTGATGAATAAAAGTTATGCAAATTTATCATATAATTTTTAAAGCTAATAATTAGATTTTGTGAAGTGATGGATAGATTAAGCAAAATTAATATTAAATAATGTGGAAGCCATAAAAAAATGACATAAATAAGAACAAAATAAAATAAAATGTACCTAGCTTGTTTTTATATTAATAAAAATAATTTATACTTTAGTATTGGCTATATTTTATGAATTTGTGTACCTAACAATATTATTTTTATGTGTAAGGAAAAATAATTACACATAAATAGTAGTTATATATAAGAAAATAATATCAATGTTTTAAAATTTAAATTTTTTAAATGGGATATAATTTGTATTTAAGAACTTTCAGAGCAACTTAAAAAATATGCTTAAACTTAATATTTGACATTACAAAAATGAGTCTAGACTGTTTTCTAAATCATGCTTTTAAACCAATTAACTAATTACCATTACTCACCATATAGAAATAAGAAAGAGCTGTAAGCACTGACCAAAATACCGAACCAGTTTTGACAGATTTTACCTGGAAATTAAAATTATATTACTAAATAATTTTATAATCATATTAATTTGGGCATCTTCTACCAATGTTTTAAGGTAAAAGTAAATGAATCATTTTTAAGATAAATAACTTAAGTATCTAATAATATTTTAAGCTGTAAAAAATATCATTACTTACCCAAAGATAATATGTAAATTGAAGGGCAAATATAGCAATTCCTTCATTATCGTAGCTTCCAGCTACTGATCGACTTATATAACCAGGTACTATTGCAATAAAACAACATGCAAACAATCCAGCACCAGGGGACCAAAGTTCTTTGGTCAGGAAATATGTTGATATTGCTGTCATACCACTACAATATACAAAATGAATAGTAATACAGATAATATTACTTAATTATTATAGCTTACACGAGAGAAATATTGATATTATTAATTAATAATAAATAATAATAGTTTAGAATTCCATAGAATCCATAGTCTACAGGTTATTTAGTACATCTAGAGCTGAATCATTTAAAATAAAAAGTTCAAATTGATTTAAATATTATGTTTAGACAGTCTCATCAGATACACTTTGAATTACTTTCCACTACTAATTCTTAAATGTTCTGTTCAGTGTATACAAAGAACCTAGGTATGGAAAAACAAGTACAACTACCATTTTAAATAAAATCATTTTCTTTAAATATAATATATTATTTTAAAATGAAAATATGAAATTAAATAACATACTTTTATTTATTTATTTATACTGTAAAAATAATAAATACATTTTGAAAAAAATATAAATTTTAAGGATATCATATAATACTATGATTATTAGTTTGGTACAGCAACAATGCGCATAAAACATAGTATGTATCTTTTACCTGAATATGGGTGCCAGGAATACGCAAATATCTCTGATATGTACGGGAATGTTTAACGCATGCAAGACATGGTGTATGGCRCCAGACGTGACCATCAGTCCTGGGTAGACAGTGCCACCGACRATCCTGCCAAGAGGATACCATGCTCTCTCATCAAACCAGTTCAGGAAATTATAGAAACCATGTTCGACCATGTATGCTGTTGCACGGTAGTTGAACCTGTAAMAAATGCAAAATATTGTCGTCGTCGAGAATTGTTGACCAAGATATTATATGTGTGTGTACACATATTATATTGGCCCATAACACAGTTTGTGGCTGTCGGTACTTACCATGGGTCGAATTCGTGAATGATGCTCTCGAACCGTATGACGGCAAACAGCCGGGCAGAGAACCCGGACACCCATGCCAAGAAGAGGATGGCGAATGTGATGAGGCTTTTCCATCCGGCTGGGTTGGTGAGCAACGTCTTCATATTAACATCAGGGTTTGCGGGATAGAAGTTAACTCACATGAATGGCGATCGTTCACTCGAAAAAATTTGACGCGACGATGAACGAAGATTACAGGTAACTGTCCACCATAGTCTTATAATCAAGAACTATTGTATCCTAATATTTACAACGTTTGTGTTGCAGACCGGGTGGACGAAGTAGTTTTGGCCCTATCCTCAAATCGCTGTTATTCGGCTACGGTAATTTGAACACGTATACTGTAAACGTCGTCGAGTGCCCTGAGTGCCACTGTGAACATAAATATTGTATAATTATATTTATTATTTACCCGTAAACATTAACAAGCCGGCAACATGACGTCACCATTTGAGGTTAAAAATCCACCGGATGAGTTGGCAACCGCCTCGTCCTGCGWTAGCGTTATCACCGCCGAGAATGTTAACACGACTTTTTATCACAGATTCTAATTTGTTTCGCCTACGAGGCACGGGCACTCGCGTAGATTATGAATTGGTCATAACCACGACGTCTCGTGTACCGAAAATGACTAAAAATAGATTTTTTCAAAAATGTGCAATATTATAATATTATGTTTATCAATCATAATATAGAGCGATTAAAAGTACCCAAGTATTTTTATTTAATTTTATTACATTTATGTAATTTAATTTAATTATATATAAATAATTTAATTTTAATAAGTACCCGATATTTAATAGGTACCTATTWAATATTTTTACAAAACTTAAAATTATATTCGATTCGTAACATGATTAAAAACATGAATTTATTAATACTCTATACCACCACCGTACCATCAGTCGTGTCTATCGCACTGCATTTTGAGTACCTACAATATGTCCCACATGAAGCGTTTTGAGTACTTAGTTTGAGAACCGCAGGCTGTCATAGAGTAATTTGAATTTTGGGACGTCATTCCTCATTTTACATTTATAACATTGTGTCATTGATTAAATATATAATAGCATATATATATATATTATATATTTAATCAATGATTGTGTTGTTATTATCTGGTTCCGCAAAATTTTTTTTTAATTTTGCTTATCTGCTACTTTTATCAGAAGATAACAGCTGCTGCTGAAGTGATTATCGAAACCCAAAAAGATAAATTAAATACATCACAGCTGCGGCATCACCGTTGTGCCTAACTACTGATGCTGGCGATGCAGCAATGCTGAGGCCGTCTATTTGGATGTTGGATATCGTACGAGATAGCCTAATACGATAAGATAATAAACCACAATAAACAATTCAATTTAAAAGTTTAATACTAAATATAGTATTTTTAAATTTTGTATTATATTCGTTTGTTTTAGATTTAGATTTTTATTTTTTATTACTGTTTTTGAGTTTATTTTATTATTTTATTTTTATATTATACATTCTTYATTCCGATGGAGACCAATAATGACAAAAGACATTCCACGGGATCCGATCAATCTATTAGACTTCACATGACAGCTCCTAGAACATTTTCAAACCAATGCCATATATTGAATAAAGGAGCAATTGATTGGTAATCTTCAATTTAGTAGTGTTTTTAGACATCTTCAGAACTTTGTTTAGGATGGAATCTTTTAGTTTGTTCAAATTTACCATAATTTAAGATGTTTGGATACAATCTTTGATATTTCAATAATAAATGTAGGTWATAATTCTGAAATTATTGTTTTAGGTCTGAAAATGGACTATTAGCATATGGGTCCAATAATCTAGTTGTAATTGTTGATACAGCTAAAGTCATTCCAGTCCAATGCTTTACTGATCACAAATCTTTAATTAAGAAGGTTAATATTTATTACACTTTGAATACCTATGTATTACTACTCCTTAGGATAAAATAGTTTTCAATCAATGACTAGTWAAAATACAATTATTTAAAWAAAACCAATGTTTTAGCTTTTATGGGTTCCATTTGATTCTGTTTCTGGTGCATCATCTGAATTAGTATCAGCAGACTGTGCAGGAGATATTGCATTATGGGATGTATGCCGAGGTCGATGCATCTCATGGATTGACTCAGAGCAAGCAAAACCGGTGAATGGTGAGACATTTATTTAATGTGATTATTAATCATGATGTCTAACATTGTTTTATTCATCAGGACTTGAGTGGGTACCATCTTCATTAAACAATGATTTGCTGTTGGGAGTCTTACATTCTCCTTATACATTTTCTCTATTAGATGTACGTAAAGGTACTCGGCTATGGAAAAAAACATTTAGCGATACAATCAACAGTTTTGCTTTTGACCCCTTTCATTTAAATAGAATTGCATGTAAGTTTTTTAGAAGCCATTCGTTTTGATTTTAAATATTAAGACTTTATATTTTTTTCTAGTTTTGTGTCCAGAATGTATATTATTTTTTGACAATTTTGATTGCAAGTCAGCACTTAGTGGTAATGGGCGTAAATTTTACATATCAAATACTGCAGCTGGTGAGAATTCAACTATAGCTGAAGAATCTACGCGGCCGAGAACTAGATTCAAAAGATTGATGAAGGGTTTAGTATTAGGAGAAAGTCAACCTAAGTGAGAACTAAAAATATATTTATGAGCTACTTGTTTGGAATATGATTTTATCATTCACATTTATCTTATATTTTTTTATATTTATAATATTAAGAATGGATCCTTCATTGACGGTTTCTGAATGCATTCAATTTACATACCATCGTTCACTACGAAATCATATAATTTTGATGTATCAACATGATATATTGATTCTTGACCTTTATATTAGTATGACAGTTGGTGTAATTAGCATTGATCGATCATTTTCTCCATTTTGTCAGGTAATATAATATTTAAATGCATAAAATGTATTAATTTTTACTATAGAATTTACAACATTTTCAGATGTATTCTTGTCGACAACGTGATATTATTTATTGTTTACAAGAAACTGGAAGTTTGTCATTGAAATTAAGACGTAAACCTATAGCAAATTATTTGATGTCACCCATGGATGCTTCTCCTGTAGCTGTTGCTGGCAATGGTGATTTTGCACATGTATATAATTTATATATATAGTGTATCATCTTTTTTTATCTTATATTCTAGAATCCTCTGCTGATACATATTTGTGGTATGAACATAGAATACAAAGTGAAATAATCAGGCAGACAAAGAATTCTAAAGTTCTTGGTCTAGCAGTTTGTCCAATTACTGAAAAACATTGTGGTTTGTACTGACTTAAAATATACTTGAACAAAATTAAATTAATTTTTTATTATTATTATTTTGATATAGCTATACTATTAAGTATGGGAAAAGTTATGTTTTTTGAACTAGAGAAAATTATGACAGCAGCCAATGACATATCATTTTACCTTGGAAGACGTGACTTCCATAAAATGACATTAAGTAACATTTTTCCATCGTTCAATGATGTAATTAAAATAGATTGATGTTCCTAATTATTTATTTTATTTTTAATACAAGTATTTATATTTGCAGAGTCAAGGCTTAATACCAAAAGTACGACTATATGCTCGAGGAATGCTTCCTAGTCTTGAATCCTCATTAACTGTTATTAAATATTGTCCACCATTAACATCAGCCACAAGAGCTAAATACAAACCCCTTTTAGCTGTTGGCACAAATTCCGGGAACATAGGAATTTTTAATTTAGCTACAGGATTAATACTGAAAGAATATCATGTACATTCTCATCCTGTTAGGTGAGCTATAAATTGCAACCTAATCAAAATATTTTAATTTGTTGAATTGATTATGAAATTATTTATAAAAATCATATTAGAGGTATTGAATGGATCAGTCAGCGATATATAATTTCTTGGTCGTTTTATTCATATACATTAAATACTAAGAGTCAAGTAATTGTAACTGATATTCAGTGTGGTCAGTCTACACCTGTCCGYATAAATAAAGTAGATGAGCCATATGTAGTATTTGTTAAAGTATCTCCATTAAAGTAAGTACTTGTCTTAATAGCACTAAATAAAATAAAATAATTGTTTGATTTTAAATTCAGACAGTATTTTGTGATTGGAATCAAAGATGGACCAGTTGAAATTTGGGATATAAAATCAATGTCATTGTTAAGTAAAATGTCAAAAAGATTTCCACCGGCTGTTTGCATGGTAAATATTTTTAGATTATTAATAAATTGAAAGTTTTTAAACATTTTCTTGATTAATAAGGAATGGGTTCAATGCAACATGTCTAAAGGRAAAAAAAATAGTGTGGCAACTATAGTTGAAGGTATATTAATATGTATTATTATATATTGTTTATTTAAAACCTTATACAATTTGAGRAAACTTATTAAATGTATGTTATGTTATTATTATAATAAATAGAGAACGAAATCGGATCAAAATATCCAGAACATTTATTGATTTCTGACGTAGCCGGTAACCTTTATGCTTTCTTAATTGATTCAAATAGTTTTTTGAAGCCTGGTACAATGATAGAGCCTGGAGTAAGTATGAGAATGCATTATTAAAAAAAAAGATTTATTTATTCTTTAATTTTTCCATCAGATTTTGTTAAAACCTCCTGTATACCTTACATGTAAGTTAAACATTGCACTTCAAGTAGACAGTGATGGTAATTTGTTTGTGTGGGACTTAAGTAACCATATGGACAAACAAAAACATCATATTAATCGTTTGGAAGTAAAAAAAATAAAGTTTGCTCCTGGCGCTGGAAATTTTAGATTTTTATGCTTGTCATCAGATGGCATTGACATTTTCAATGTTTTTGGGGTAAGTATTTTAGAATTATAATAATTGATCATATTATCTGAATAGTGTATAAAATATTGGAGTAAAGAGTACAGTACACCCAAGGCTATTAATATCATTAAGGTGATCTTACAAGAATGTATGTTTTTTTAGTCACCTCAATCAATCGAAATAATTTCCACTATGAAGACAGATAAAAAGTTACAAGTTATCGATGCTGATTGGGCTAGTGCTGAACACACTGTAATCATGTTTAGTGATCATTCTATTAGAGTATTTGACCTTAAGCTTACAAAGTCTTACTCTTCAATATATAATTATGAATTTGATGGTAAACTCTTGTTATTACTTAGTTATTAATATTAATTATACATATAGTATATAGTATATACTATGATGATTTGACATATTTAAATGTAATTCTATCATATTTTTTTAATACACATTTTATACAGAGTAATTTTTTAAGCATGCTCACCATATCTTTATATGGTTAGTATYATATTACAAATGTGYATATTCAAATTTGGATTTTTTAAATACACTTAAAGACAATATTTTTCATTATTGATTTTTGTACCAATTAACAATACAAACTTGTTTTCACTTTTTAATTGGTCAGCAGATAATATTTTTGAATCAAAATTTAAATATGTAGTTTTTGAGTTACAGAACTAACCTACCCTAACTTAACTAGAGATAATATGTTTATAATAAYGAGTAAGGCAGATATGAAGGCGTAAGTGGATTTGGAATTATTAGTAAATATTGACTACTATAATCGTTTAATAAACACTACTTCATATATTAAATACARTTTATATATTTTCTTAACCATTTTAAAGTGTTATTTTATCCTTATTATAAACATTTTAATAACTCAGAAACTAATCATTAGAATTTTGATTTAGGTAAATCAAAACTTWAAAGAAAATCTTTTGTTAAATAATTTACAGTTAAAAAGGGCAGAGATTTTCATTTTAAAAGTAAAAGTTCAAGACACTCAGTCAAATAGTACAAATATTGTAAGATAATACAAGAATTTTAATAAATTGGTGTGAGCATGCTTATAAAAAACCCTACTTATATATTTATGTATGTGTGACTATGTGTTTTTAACGTGGACGTTATTTTATAATTTTTTTTTCAGATTTACTGGGGGCTCCTACAATTTTAGACAGAGATTTATGTAAGATGTTTTATTTTTGGCTTTCAGCTACTTGTAAAAAAGTTTATAGCACAGAACTTGGTTTTAATAATTATGAATTATCTCGTAAGTAAAAATAAATTGCTATAAAATTATTAATTTTGAATCTGGTCTACTTAGTTGTAATTAATATTTTTATTTTTTTAAAGTTATTAAAAATGCCTGTTATTCTCTACCATGGACAGAATTAGAATCATGTACAAAAATAGCTGAACGATCTTTAGTAGTGAGTCAATCGCTTGGACTTAAGAATGAAGTCCAATTTTGGACAGTGGCTTTTCATTACATCATGATGGATGATGATTTTGCTACAAGTGTTGTTCCTCCCTTAGATTCTTGTTACGATGTTGTATGTGACTGTGCTACATATCGAGTAAGTTGAAAGATGTATTTATTTAATTTTTAAAATTATTAATAGAAACAGTAAATTGTTAAATAAGTCATTCTTATTTATATTATAGTATAGTAAAGTTTCGATTACACACAAATAAAAAAATAAATAAATCTTTTTAAAACTTGTATAGATATCGGCTATTTTAATAAAATGTATGTATTATGTTTATAATATTTAAAATGTATTCCATATAATTATTATTGAATGCTGATCTGTTATCGCTCTAGCATTGGTATTTTTATGGCATATATTATGTATATTATAAAATGTTTGGTTAACTATTTGGATATTTGTGTATCCAGACCATATTTGACATTAATTAGTGCGGATAGTTGGATTTTTATTGTAACCAGGTGCGGACTGGTAAAAAGGGCACGGAATGCTACATAATTTGAAGGGAAAATTTAAAATATGTAGATTAAAATATTGAAAATACATAATAATCATAAATAGGTACCAAGGATACAACAAATATTCAAACAAAATTGTACACATATTAGATTAAAAACTAATTAGATCAAATATATTTTTTGGCAAGGGATGCTGTAGCATCCCAGCATCCTAGCCAGTCCGTCCCTGACTAACGTTATTGTTATTGTTTAAAAAATCACAAATTTTTAGATGCTTGATATCTTTGCTACTAAATATTTTATAGGGTTAAAAAGAGCAACCCTCTATTTGTTATCCTATTTAAACCATTAAATTTTAGTGTTTATAATAATATTTGAGTAATCTCATATTCACATTATTAAAAAATAAAATCGGGGAATATTTAGAAAATGCAATTAGAACAAGTCTTGTTACACGAATGGAAAAGTGGTGACTATATGCATATGAGGCGTGTTGCTGATAAATTTATATTACTCGGAGAAAAAACTAGAGCATTAGACTTGCTTTTAGCAACCAATGTGAATGATCCAAACTATTATACTGACGCATTGAAGTAATTTTTTTTTTATGTATAAATATATATATTTTAAACTTTTAAAATAATATTTTATTAATAGGGCTTGTTTAATTGCTACTGTGGATTCCAATACTGCTAATCAGAGTACAATTAAACTGGTAGCAGCTAATCTCATTGCAGAAAATAAAATTGATGAAGGTGAAGTTTTAAATTAATTTGTGGTTATGAAATTTAAATTTTAAAACATTATTTCATTCAGGTATTCAACTGTTATGTATGATTGGCAAAGGATCTCAAGCTTGTCGCTATCTTATATCATATAATCAATGGGAACAAGCTGTATGGTTAGCAAAGTGTTCATTGTCAAAAGAYGACTTTGATACAGTCTTAAAAAGTTGGGCCGATCATTTACTATCTAATAGAAATCAGGTATTTCATAATAGTACAAACCATAACTTATTCAGAAAAATAAAATGGTACTGGGTGGCTGTTTTTTGAATATGGATGTTGCTTTGTTCTGAAACTTTACCTTGTACGCCCACTTGATTGAAGAGCATTTAATCGCAGCACGGTACCGCTTTTATTCTGAATAGACTACATTGTTTCTGAAAGTTACATCTTAGAAATTTGTTGGTCAAAACTGGGGTAATATTATTCCATATCATCTCACCAGGAAAATGAACCATGTCAATGCTATAATGCAATCATCCTAGTACAATTTTTCATACCTATTTGAGTAGGCAAATTTTTAGATTGTATTAAATTTGTTTAAAAACAATTTCTTAGAATCTTGAATTATAATTTTTATATTCTTGTTTTTGTAGGAACAAGCTGTTTTGGTTTTGCTGTCATTAAAGAGGTTTAATGATGTATTGAAAATCTTAATCAATAGTGACCGTGTTTATAGAGCTACACTATTGGTTTTAGCATGTCATCAAAACAAAATTGGTCTTGATAATATCCTTTTTAACATAATTTTTWCAAATATTTTGAAMAATTGTTTTACTAACTTAATTTAATATAATACTAAACAATCCTTAACTCATATATTTAATACGTATTTTAGAAAAAGAAGTATGTGAAAAACTAAAACGAGAATTGTACATTAATGGAGGTGATGGTGATGTCGTGGACAAACTTTTTAATGAAAATAACACTTGAGAACAAAAAAACCTACTGTGATACTTAATTTTTATTTATTGTAAAATTTTATCTACATTTTGCTTTTTACCACATTATATCGGTTGTTTAAAAATATAAACAACAAATACGTATTCCTTCAACAATATATCGCCAATTTCCATAATCAGACAATCAGTTTTTATTTACTGAACAATAAATCACATCTACATGTTTTTTTTAGAAATTTTGTAAGAKTAAACATTAATTGTAAATGATGTGTCATTACTTATGAGGTGTGCCTGTAAATTGTGATTGTTTTCAGAYAATTATTACATTGTTGCTGAGAATATGTATTTGTTTAAATAAAATAACCTTTAATCAAGATTATACAATTTATTGTATTATTTCAATAAATATATTTGTTTTTAGTTAACAATATTGAATACTTAAAACTAAAGTTCAGATGCTAATATGACAAAAAGGTTGTATTAGACCGTAACTAATGTCCATGACGAGGTGGCCGAGCGGTCTAATGCGTCGGCTGTGGCTCAGCCGGACCTGGTTCGATCCTTGACCATTGGGCGGCATTTTTCTCCGGGCAAGTCACGGTGTCCGGAGAACAAGTGCCGCCATCCCCCACTCTGGGGCATGGCAGAAACCTACAGGTGACCCAATAGAAATTCTGCCAAACAGGCGTCCGAACTAGGCCTTCAGGCCTACTCCCGGACATAGCGTCATACGGGAAAAAAAATTTCCATGTGGAGCATACTCCTTCCCCAAGTTATTTTTAGGCTATGGAAACATTTAGAAGATCTCAATATACCATTTTTACATACAATTTGAATTAATTTATTTTATTTTATATGTATTAGAGCTATTTTTTTTTGATTTTAAATCCTAACACCGAAGTTGTTAGGATATCAAAGTTTTTCATAACRAGTTTTAGTTTTTTTTACCAGTTATTAAAATATGGTATGTCCATTATGCTTTGAAAATCGAGGTACAGGAAGCATATTAATTAAAAAAATTTTGAAAAAACTTCYTAATATAATGACTTAAATCTACTTGTGTTAAAATGTCATATAAGATATTTTTATTTATTTCTTAAAGTAAATAGGCAATAATGATATAATGTTTATTATACTGGGTGTCCTGTGAGGATTTACCCATTGCGATATCTCCCAAAATAATGGTGATATAGAMATTTTGGTTTAGTAATAAAATTCACAGGGATAAGAACTACAATTGTTTCGTATTTTAATTTATTTTAATGTTTTGGTAAAAAAGTTAAAAAAATATATTTTTATATTTAACTATTTCCAAAAAAATTAAAGATAGCCATTATGTAGAGTTTATTCTTCTGAAAATATTGACGTTTCAAAATTTTATTTTCATTAATTTCCTGATTTTTAATATTTTTTTTARTTWCGAGAAAAATTGCGAATTATTTAACACCATAATTTTGTTATCAAACATGTGACGCGCCGCGCGCATTCCATACGGTCGGCTGAATACTTTTCGTATTCCTAATGGTAATAAATTTATAATCATATTTTATTTCTTCAAAACTTGAAAATATATCAAAAATCAGGAAATTAATGGAAATAAAATTTTGAAACGTTAATATTTTCARAAAAATAAACTCTACAAAATGACTATCTTTAATTCTTTTGGAAATAATTTAAATAAAAAATTATATTTTTAAATTTTTTACCAAAATGTTAAAATCAATTAAAATATGGAATAAGTGTAGTCCTGTGAATCTTATTATAAAATCAGAATTTTGATATTTCCATTTTTTCGTGAGTTATCGAAATGGGTAAATCCTCGCGGGACACTCTGTTTAACAATTTTAATCTATATGGATATTTTTACCTTATTAACTTGATGTCTCAACTACAGATTAAATTTGAAGGGCAAAGAAACATGATTATTAAGATATATCTTAAATTGTGTGGTGATCCCAGATAGGAAGTTATAGAAGCAATAACAAAAAGACTAACTCTGTTATACAAACAAAAATGTTAAATTCAAAAATAATTTCTTATAGTTATACATTTATTGATTATTAACAGTACAATTAATAGTATATAGCATTTGCTTATTGTTATGGTTTGACATAAAGCGCTATGTAAATGTACGTCATGTTGTAATCATTTAAAAAATAAAATTCGAATATGCTTTTTTCAGTGATTAAAAAAAATTAAAAMAATTATTTCCATTTTTCTTGATGGWTAAAATAAATCCACATTTCMGGTTTTTCTGTTAGTTTTACATAATAATGTACTATATCCAATAACTCAGACCACARAACAAACCCAGATTTTCCCAATAGTTATTTAATTATTTCCTCAATACGTTTTATAGAAAGTTAAAAATAATTGTATTAATCAAAAATTTGTATTTATTTGTCTTATTAGAATTGGATCATTTTTTTTCTAAACATGGGTGAAAATATGAAAAGTTTTTTAACTTAATTGTATTGCTTATTTGAGTATTAAGAGAAAATATTAACAATACACTTATACACTTACAATCTAATTAAAAATAATTGGGATCAAAATATTCTAAGAAAATTGATTTAAGAAATGGCTGAATATGTTAAAAGTAGTCACTACATTTAATAGTTATGTATAGCAATTCTCTTTTATCACTATAAAAAAACCAACTACTTGAGGATAYGAAAAGCTAAAGATACAAAACAATAAAACATATGTTAACCATAAAGACAAAAGAAATTTATTTATTATCTATCTGATAATAGTAAGTGATAACATATTATTAGCTTAATAATATTTTAAAAACTAAAAATCACATAACACTTCAGATGAGAATATTGTTAACCAGAAATCGGTTAGATATTCTGTCCAACCTTACGAACAGTCTTACAACTTTATTATAAATAAAAGTAAATATTCAAATAATAACTATACTTTAATACTAAATTCTAGGACAATAAAATTAAAAGTAAGTTTAACTATTGCAGTAAGCCCATACAAATTAATTAAAATTATACATAAATAAATAATTTGACACTTATTTGTTAATATTTAAATTGATATGATACGAAAATTAGATTATTTGTAAATAAAATATAAACATTGACACACTTTAACCATCATATAATATTGAAGACAATTTTTTTTTWAAATTATGTTTACGTTCAATTTGTATTTATAATTTGAGCACTTATTTTCATCAAAAAATGTTCAATTATTTTCATATTGATGAAAATAAATGTATTTTATGGTTTTTATACTTTAAATTTGTAAAAATTTAATATTTTTAATTTATAGAATACTGTTTTAGGATTTCATAGTTCTATTGTAAGTCAATAAATAAACCTCATCACAAACCAAATATTATAAGTAATATAAATAATAACAGCTTTCAAAAACTGTTCAATTCAATATCTTAGTAATAAATTGTATACACATTTWAAGAATGAAACGAAAAATGATAGATTTTATATAATAAAGTTGATAGTTTTTATACTTAATAGTATTGCTGTATGATTAAATTCAAATATTATTCATTTTACTTAACTATAATAGACGTATAGTCTTTTAATGAGTTTATTTTATATAAAAGCCAGATAAGAGAATTGTAATACCATTTAGTTAAGTTTCAGACTTAAACTCAAAATTTCCAATACTACTGCACCCTGATTTTAAAAGGTTTTTTGACTGCTCCTGTTCCAGGTTTTATTGAAACTTAAATGTGGCAGTGTTTAAAATATATTTATAAGAATAATAATGAATTTAAATCATAACAATGAACAAATAATTATTATTTTTTAATCATTTATAAAATTACGATTTATCATTATTATAAGAAAAAAAATTATGATCGAAAAAAATTACATACTAGATTTTTAAACAATTGAAAAAGAGGAACGTAATTGAGAAAAAAATTTGCTTAGAGCAGAGAGCTGAGTTACCCACTTTCCAAAGTTTCAGACGGGTTTACAATTTGGTAAGCAATTAAATATTCAGGATAAGCCTAAAAACATACATCATGGTTAAATCACATATAAATATAAGTTATCATTAAATATGTTAATTTACCTGCTCTCCTCGATACACAACATACTCTGAGTAATTTAGTCCACCAACACTAGGTGTTCCCATAACAGAATGATGTCCAGGTGGTGCATGAGCTATTTTAATAGCATTGTATTGAACAAAGGACTTTCCAAGGGTCACTCGACACATAAGTAAATGTCTAGTAAAAAACATATTTGATTTTTAATAAAAAATACATACTTAGAATAACAAATACTTACCTCAAACATTGATAACATGAACGATCTTTATGTGAAGGACAACCTGTTCCTCCACCAATTCCATACACATACTGATTGCTTTTGGACGAGTTTTCAGCAAAATATATACCTGAAACATTTTATTTTTAAATAAACCTTTTCAATAAATAAATTGTAATTTAAAATTTACCAGCTCCAAACATTCCACCAATATAGGCATGCCTTTCATCAAATCCTTTTTGGACAATTGCATTAATGAAAGGTGATCCATGGAAAAGCATTCGCTCATTCGCTTGATTACCATTTTCTAAYGACACTTCTCGTTTACGATGTATATAACGATCCCAGAGTTTACGATTTTGAATTTTTTGTATCTGAAATTATGCAGTTTTCAGTATATACCTATTGACATACTCTAAACACTAATGTACTTACTCTAACTATATTATATCTATTAAATATTCCACCAGACTGTCCATTATCACGATGTTCTCGTATAGTGCTTTGTAATTCTTGTTCAACAGTAATAAACTCTTTATCTTCAGGCAATAGATCAATCAAAAGAGTGCATGGCATTCCACCCGATAAACCAGAACAAACACCACCTATAATTTAAATTGGTCGTATWTTTATTTTTAAGATAAGCTATTTCCCATAAAAGTCAATTTAATAACATTTGTACAGTTAGATAAAAAGAGAATTATTATGAATATTAAAAAAATACAGTTCAGTTGTTGTCAAATTGATTGACATGGCTGTGGCAGGATATAATGGACAACCAAGGGTTCTCCGTATTTGGATGTCCAAATGTTAATGTATTTGATATAATAACATATGTTATTATATTAAATATATTAACAGACAACAAAGTGTCACAAAACATTTAAGAACTGATTTTAAATTATTAATTTCAAAATAAATATTTTGTCAAACTTTCAAAACAAAATATAAATAATTTAATGCATTTATGATAAAAAACTTAGTGAGGCAAGTCGCGACTAGTTTAAATTATACCTACTGAAAAGTGTTGCCACCRMCATGCAAATTTGACAATAACTGTAACAACTTTTATAAGAAAAGATAATATACTATTCCAAAWAATACAATAATTACCATGTTTAGATACTAATTTTTC